AAGGTTCTATTTTATTAGGAATAGGAGTTGGAGTTGGTCAGTTTTGTTGTACGATTTCTTTATTAACGTACAACGGTTCAGGTAATATCAAAAATTGTACCAAACTTGATCAACCTACTGAAGCATATGTTTTGATTTCTGCATTATCATTTACTAATGTCCTTTATATTATCTTATGTGGATATCATAGTTATTGTATTCTTCGTAATAATCATAGTTTCAAACAATTTATTGTTCATTTATTATTCAGTATTCCTGTTGGAATTATTCTTGTATTCACAACATATAATTATTATTATTTTTCTCTTGTTCCACCTGTCTCATTTAAATTAGCTACTACACTTTCTTCAGAAATACTTCTGATTGGATTTTATGCTTTGAACTTTGGAACTTACTCTCTAAATAATGTTGAATACAAATTAGTAAATTCTGAAATTCCTATTGAAGATAATGATTCAAATTCTCATTCAAGAAAGTCTTTTGATCTTTCTTCAAGGTCATTAGTTTCTGCTAATTTAAAAGAACCAAACAACTTCCTTCAATCAAATTCAGTTTCAAAAAGTAATATTTCAAAAGAAGAATTACAAACAAATTTCGTTGGTAATGAAGAAATTATTCTTTAATTGAAAATATATCGTGCTTGTAATTGAATTTGTTATTTAAATTTTTATTTATTCGTCATTAATGATTTTTCAGTCAATAAAATTACTAAAATCTTTAAAAACATATTTTTCTTTTTTTTTTACAGAAAAGTTATTAAATTGATATTTTAGTAATATTTGAAATATGAATATTCTTTGTTTTGGTAAAAATACTTGTGTTGATAAATTACTAAATGTATTATTATATGTCTAAATATAATAGTATCTCTTCTTCAATTATTTGAAGGTATTGAGAAAGATATTACAATGATTATTAAACTAAGTTATTTAATTTTTATATTTAATATGTGTAATTATTAAAGTAAACTTCTTTGTTTTCTATTTCTTTAACTTATAATTTAATTTTAAATACTAATTTATTCAAAATATTTTGATTAAAATTTTCGTTCTTCTTCTAACAGATATGAGTTTATTTTTTAAGTATTTAGAAAATGTGATAGAGAGTTAAATTAAACTACTTAAATTTTCTTGTCTCAAATCATTTATATAATCACTTTATGGTATATATTTATTGATTATATACATTTATTTGGTTTATTTTATCAAAAAAAGTAATTCATATTTGTTGTATTATTTGATATTATTAAAGAATTTCTTATTAAAATGATTAATTCTTATGATAATTTAAAACAAAATAGATATTTCCTAATTTCTAAAACTCATTATTTCAAGTTATAAATATTTATGACGGAATTAATAAAGAAAAAGGTACATTAACAATTAAATTTAAATTGTTATAAATACCCTCATTTTGTTATTATAAAATTATTGAACAAATAAATTTAAATTAAAATAACAAAAGCATTATAATTATTACTTAAATTATGATTTTAAGGGTGTTTAGATAATAATACAATTTGTAATATTATTTGTTCTAAACATTTTATTTTATTATTTTCCTCAATGGTATATCAAATAAAAAAATAACCAAATTAAAATTACTTAATATTATATACTATTATATTACTATATTTTATTATAATTAATTAGTTGTGTTTTTTCTATTTGAAGAGATTTTCTTTAAATTCATAATTTTAAAATTTTTATAATAACATTAATATAATTTTAACTTATAATAATGAATTTATTAAATCAAACACAAAACATGAATCATTTTTTTTTATTAAGAAAGTGTTTAAATAAAAGAATGTTATTTTGTCAATAATTTATTATTAAACTTTTTTTAGATTTTTCTTGTTGTTTGGAACTTAAAAACAACCGATAACTTTTTCTTTATTTAATGAATTTATACCAAACCTCACTCCCTCCTCCTGACACAATTAATTCTCAACCTACTTATTCAAATATTCAGACAAACGAACAAGTTCAACAAGAAGGTGGAATAATTAATAATCCAAACCCATCGTATGGCTATTCAAATGAAACAACTCAACCATCAAATTATGTCCCTTATCAATCACCCCAATACTATCAACAAACTCCAGTATCCTTGCCATCTTATAATCAGACATTTACTTCATCCGAACCAAAATACGAACAAGAAGTTCCTGTTATATCATCTTCATCTTCTGATTCTGAACAAAGTAAATGGTTTCAATTTACATTAACATTTTTCCTTTTTGGATTTTGCTTCATTTTCTTCTGGCTTGCTTCTTTTGTGATTTCTCGAAAATCAAGTCAACCTTTTACACGGGTAATAGGGACAATTTCTATAATATTATTTTTAATATCTTTTATTTGGTGGATCGTATTCGTTACTTGTGTGCTTTAATTTAATCCTTTTAAATTTCAATATTAATATTTCTTTGTTTTTTGTCTATTAGTTAAATAAAGAATACAAATACTTTGAATTAAAGTCATTGGAGTTTATAATATTCTTATGAACAAAATTTCTAAATAAACAATAAAAGGGTTAGAGAATTTAGTGTAATGTATTGGGTAGATTTGTCAAAATAAGATCTAAACCAGACTCAATTACTTTAATTCATTATTCAATTCAAATTTATTTAATTATGAATTAAATATTACTTAATTTGTATTACTTAAGAATAGTTTATATTTATTATTTCTCTTCATTATTTATTCTTTTTGTATTATTTCTTTCATTTGTATTATTTCTTTTTGAATGAATATCAATTGAATTAAATGCATTATATTATATTTTGATTTATTTTTTATATCATATATTTCTATTACTTCTTTCTTATTTCTCTCATTTCATATTTGTAAATGTTATTGTGGTGTAAATCGTTTGAATTAAATGTATTTCATTTGAATACTATCATTTTATATTTATTTGTTAATTTATAAAATGTAAGAAATATAATAATGTATCATTCTATATTATTTATACATTTTATTATTCTTTCTTTTTTCTTCATTTTGATGTTATTCTTCATTTTATTCATTTATCATCGTTTTATTCTATTTTTTATTTCTTTATTTTTCAAATATTATGATGAAATGTTATTTTATTCTTTAAATTATTCATTTTCATTTTGTTGGTTTCTATTCTTTATTTTATTATTTCTTTATTTCTTTGTGTATTTGATATATTATAATTGATTGGTTGATATGTATTTCTCTTAATGTTATTATTTATTTTCATAATTATTTATCATTTCATTATAGTTGATGTGAATTATATTATATCTTTTTAATTTCATTTTAAAATAAATATTTTCTATTTATTTAATATCCTCTTTCTTCTTCTTTCATTCATATTATATCATATTTTCCTTTTTATAATCTTTTCCTTTCTTTTATTTTTATAATTCATTCTTCTTTTTCTGATTCTTTTTTGCTTTTATTTATCCAGTTATTTCTTACAACACTTATTGTCACTATAATTCTGATTAATTTGTTGTTTTTACTAATTAAATGGTATTTATTCATTTCTTAATACTCAAAACATTAAAATAAAAATACAACCTCATTATATCCCATAAATATGAATGAATTAGATATTATATATAAATAAATTTGATGCTATTAAGAATAGAATTGTTTTAATTCAACTTATTTTTGGATTAAACATACACCACTCACTCAACTTTTGATTGTATTATCACATATTAAAATAGGGAATTAATAAAAAAATTCACAACCATTGTTCAATAACAAAAATATCAATTTAGATAAACACCACAAGAAGTATATTAAAAACACACCATTAATAGTATCTGATTTGGTCTATTTATTATTTTTTAAACTTACTTTGCTTCCACCGATAAACAATTTCGAGAATAGAATATTGTCTATCATTAAAAAGTGCCATACCAAACAAATTTGAAAGAGAAATACAAAACAACAAAAAAATACAATTTAAATTCTAATTACATGACAGATAAATAAAGAAGATTGTCTATGGAAATTACAATAAAGCATAATTGGTTATTATTTGTAATAACGAAAGACATTCATTATTCTTATTATTTTTTTGTTATGAATATTATATTCTATGAAACAATTTTTGTTAATAATAACATATCTTATGGTTATTTTAAAAAAATAAAAAGTAAGAATAAAGCAAATTTAATACTCTACACCACCTTCGTTTTTCCTTTTGGATACAAATTATCCCGAGACTTTTGGGGAAATATGAAAAAAATAGTTAAACTCTCAACGATATGAACTATTTATAAGAATGGAATTGAAAAAGAGGTGAGTGTGGTTATTCAAAACCACTTGTTTTGATACTTTTGACTAACCACAATCTTATTATTATAAACATGAACCTAACATGCTTTGAACCTGTCTCTGTTATATTTGATGGAAATATATTCATTCAAGAACCAATCAATGAAAAAACCAAGACAAAAGATGTGAAAAAGAATTTAGTTAAATCACAAATAATGGATAAGAAGTTTCCTAAAATCAGGATTTCGTTAGAATCATTAGAAGAATTGAAAAAGATTAGAAGAGATACACAATGTAAATCATATTGTGAAGTAGTTGAATTTCTAATTGATTATTATATCCAATCAAAAATAACTGAAGACTGTAAATAATACTATTTTTATTGATTTTATGGTTTTTAAATAAACAAAACATTCAAAAATATTACTATGGAATTAAATCAACAACAACAACCTCAGGTGGACAATTCACTTTAAATCCATAATGACTTCCTATTCCAGATGTCACATAAACTGGAATTGAAGATTTGTTGTATTGTAAATGATATAATCCATAAATAACTTTCCATTTTTGTAAATCCAATAATCGCAAATACATAATTTTCCACCACCTCAACATCCATGCCTTGAAAAGCAATAACGGAGAACCAATAAATGGAATATTGACTTGCCCACCATGAGTATGTCCACAAAATATTGCACTGATATGAATATTTTGTTGATTATTTTCATTTGATTCTGAAAAGATTGTGTCGTTTAACACTGATGGAGTGTGTGACAATAAAACAATCTGTTGATTTTGTGGTAGAAGTAAATGGGAGTTGTTTGTGTAATAATCAATTCCAAAGAAATGGAAACAGTCAAACACATATTCCTCATTTAATAATATTGAAATACCAATAGATTGTAATGCTTTGATAATGTCATTTGGTGGTCGAAGTTTAATGTCATGATTTCCGATAATTCCAATACCTTTAAATTTGTGTGCAATAAACTCAAATGATTTGATGAAAAGCAAAATATCTTCATGAGCAAGTTGGATATAATCTCCAAGAAAAATTACTAGTTCAGGATTACTCTGGAGTATTATATCAATTGATTGTTTAATTAATTTGGGATGAAAAGTCGTTTGATTTTGTTGAAGATGAAGATCAGAAAGAATAACTACCCTATGTGAGTGAGTGAGATTTTGTATAGGAAGAGTTAATGACACTGGAATTACATTGTGGTATGGAATAGAATGAAAATGAATAAAGGCAAAGAATAGAAAGAGAGGGAATGTAATTAGTTGTGAATAAATAAAGAGAGAGAAGAGTGATATAAACATTAGAAGTGCTGAAAAATTATAGAAGTTCATCATAAAAGAAAAGGATGACTGAAAGATAAACAGTTTTTTTTTTGACAAACACAATCAGAAAAGAGAAAATCTAAAAACTTAAAAATGAAAAGATGAGTGAAATACTCCAATCACCATTCAACGTTATTAAAGGAATTAGTGTTGGACCATTTAAACTTGGAATGCCATTGTTTGAAATTTTAAAGTCATTAGATATTGGACCAAGTGCAACCAATTCTGCACAAACATATATTAGTTATAATGAAGAATATCCAACAACAGGAAGGATTGTTATTAAAAATTTGGCACATTCATTAACGTTATATGTTGATGCTAAAAAACAAATTCTTATTTGCATTGAAATTGAGCATATGAAGGTTCAACTCAAAAGGTCTGCTCATGAATTTCTTGTCCATACATCAGCATCTCCACAAGACGAAGAGGACACTTTTGGAAAATTGTCTACAGCATTTAATAAATTGAAAGAACGAACAATCAATAATATGACAGAATTATATGATGGTTCTATTGTATTTCAGTTTTCTGGTACTGCAGAGAAAGGAAATGAAAGAAAGAAATTAGGATTAACAAAAATTATTATTAAAGATGACAAGATAGAACCATTAAATGAATATGGATTATCTTTTCTTCAAGTTGATATTGATGTTCTTGCACAATCATTAATTGTAGGAAATATAATATTATATCATAAGGAACATGTTGAAAAAGTGACTGCTGACCTTGGTTTTCCACAAGGAGAAAAGAAAGTCAACACAACTGGAGATTATTTTTATAACTATTTTTCAAGAGGATTTGATATTCTCTTCGACTCAACAACTCATTGCATTAAAAAATTTGTTGTTCATTCAAACAATCCAAGTGATACATTCTTTGGTAATTATTCTAAATGTTTCTTTAATGTAAAATTCTCTAATGGTGTTATTGTTACACCAGAATCATTATGGAAAGAATTGAATTTCAAAACAGAAGATCCAACACTTCTTGGTGATAATATTGAATTATACCAATATGAAAATTGTTCTTTTGAAATTCATTCTAAAACAAGTTCAATATTAACTATTTTTATTTGAACAAAATCGAAACAAATTTTTAAATTATAATTTCATCTCCAACAATAAATTAGATAAGGTTTTAATTTTTATTTGTCTTATTTATCATTTCTAAGAATATTTTTAATTTCTCAGAATTGTATGTTGATGGTATTTCTAAATCCTTAATATCATCATAAGTGAGTCCAACATTTATAATACATTCTTTAAAATATTTAAATTCTTCTTCTGTCAATTTTAAATCACAAACTTTTGGTTTGTGACTTTTTTCACTTTCCTGTTTTAATTTCTCATTTTCCTTCTTCAATGCTTGTATTTCTTCATCTTTTAAATTAAGTTCTTTTTTCATTCTATCACATTCTTTCTGAATAAATTCAATTCGGCTTTTTGATTCTTCTTGAAATGTTTGATAATACAATTCCATTTGTTTGTCTGTCATAATTTGAAATTTCAAGTGTTTCTTTGATTTTTTTTATTTTTTCTTTTATGTTTTTTTGTAACCTAATAGAAAACTATTACCAAACTATCAACTCATCTAATAATGCTTAGCTGGAAACCTTCATATCCCCCTTGTCCTGATTTAACTTCTTCTATTGAAACTATACCAACTGCAAAGAGCTTCATCACCCAATTAGACGAACACTTGATGAATAATAATGGAATAGTCTTATTTGAGAAAATTGTCAATTTTATCTTTAGTCAGCCAACGTTGGGGTATATGGCTATTCCTCATTACATTCGCTTTAACGAAAAAACCCCAATCCCTTTAATTAATTTTGTGAGATATATTATCCAATATGCTCCATTTGATGAATTACCCGATTGTATTCTTCCATGCATTGTATCAACAGCACTTGAACTAATTAAAAGACATGAACCTAAAGATACCTTAGATGACCAAGACAATCTATTGTATGAATTATACAAAATTCTTATACAGGCGGTGGTTGTTGATAAAAAAGTAATTAGTTTGATCAACCAAACTCTTCATATCATCATCAACCAACTTATTTCAATTCATCCATTACAATTCAGAGAACTCAGAAACACTGTTTATCAACTTATATCTTATTTACCAAATAAGGATGAGTTAATGAATCAAATTACAAATCAATTGATTACTCAATATCACCAACAATTTATTGAAGCATTATTTGCAAAACCTGACAACTTACGTAAATATTGTGGGATGGAGAATTGTGGTGCTACTTGTTATATTAATAGTGTCATTCAACAACTTCATAACAATGAATCTTTTAAAGAGTCTATTCTTCAAAGTAATTGTAGTGGTTCTTGTTTCATATTAAAAACATTATTTGAACGAATGGAACAGAGCAAAAATTGGATTGTGACAAGAGATGTTATTGAAAACATTCTTGGACCATCTAATAAAATTGATGTTAGTGTTCAAGATGATGCATATCTCTTCTTGACCAATTTACTTGATATTCTTAATGAAGATAACAAAGCACTAATCAACAGTTGTGTCAATGAATTTAAAGTTATTACAAAAACAACACTGAAATGTACAGAGTGTCAAAAAGTTCGGGAAAGAAATGAAATAAATACATCAATATCTGTTGATTCTGTGAACAATGAATCTTTGGACCAAGCACTGAGTAATTTAATTAAAGAAGAAGAAATGAATGATATTGATTGTCTATTTTGTAACAAAAAAACAAAACAAATCAAACAGATAAGTTATGAACTATCTGAGAGTCTCATCATTGGAATTAATAGAAATAAAACTATTGAAGGAGGAAGAATCTATAAATTTAATAAACGATTTGACTTTCCTCTTAAAATGAAATGGAATGATAAAGAAATGATATTAAATGGGATTGTTTTGCACTCTGGAACAACAGAAATGGGGCATTATACATCAATCATTAAGGATAATAATGGGAAGTGGTGGAAATGTAATGATAAAGTTGTTGTGGAATATAATGAAAAAAGAATCCTTGAAGATGGATATGGAACAGTGAGCAACTCATTATCAGCATCAATTCTATTTTACAAAACAAAAGAACCTAATCAAATTCAAAATACCAACAAAGAACAAGTTCAAAACAATAACGAATGTAACTCTATGAATATTATTGTTCATGATAAACAACTCTATGAATGGACTGAAAAACAAATAATTGACTCTTCCTCACAATGGAAGAGTCAAGAATGCATTGACTTACTTACTCTCATACTCTATAAAGGAGAATATTCATTCTTTAAAGATATTCATTCTTTAATCACCACAATAGAAAATAAATCAATCTCCATAATACAGGAACTTGTTTCAAAACAAAATGAACTACCCACAATCATTACTGACTGTATTGTTGGTACAACAACATTAAAACATGCTTTAATATGTATTGAACTATTTGACAAATCATCAGAAAATAATACCTGGATTGCAACTAAACTTGTTGAATTAATCCCAAAATATACTACTTCACATCAACACAACCTTCTTTCAAAATTGTTTGTAAAATGTGAAGAATGGTTTGGTTTAGGTGAGGCAACTCCTTATGAAATGACGATTCTTCACTTACTTGTTCATTCTTCTTCTCTTTCAGAAGAGTCATATCAGTTACTTTTAATTCTTTGTAACTATTTCCAACAATGGCTTATTCAAAACGATATTCCATTTATTCAAGATGTACTTTCATTAATTACTACTACATCTCAGTTAAATGATATTAAAAAATACAAAGACTCATTAAAAAAACTCATTAAAAACACAGGAACTTTTCTCAATCTTCTTCCTCTTCTTAAATCACTCATACAACGATTAATCACAGAAAAAGACACAGAAAAACAAACAATATTGAAAGATTTAATTGTTACAACACAATGTTCAATCAAATCAGAGAATAGTCGGACAGAAGTAATGGACTATTATATGACTCTTCTTTCAAAATATTCAATACTTCAAGGATGTTTTGAAACGTTCATTAATTGATTTTTTAGAGTGCTTAAATGGAATAGTTTACTTCAAACAATCAATTAGTCTATTCCTCCAAGATCATAGTCATCTTCTTGACTCTTGAACTCATTAATCTTTCTTCTCATCTTTGATTCATCATCCCAAGTCACAAAATCTTCTTTTTTTCTTGAAACAATATATGCTGGATTTCTAATCACATCTGGTCCAACTTTGATATGACCTTGTTGAATTAATGTCTCTGCTTGTGTAACATCAGTCACCATTTTTTTTGCCTTTACAACAATGGCTAATCTTCTTCTACAAAAGTCAGAGGCATGAATAACATCAATCATATGTAATCCCTTTTCGGGTAATATAATAACCCCTAAGTCATATCTAACATCAATTATTACTGTGGTACTTATGAAGGATATTTTGAATTATCAAACAAACAACCTGTCACAAATTCTTTTTGTTAATACCATACGAAATGCATCATCTTTAGGTAATTTTTGTAACAAAAAACTAAGTTTTCTTAAATTTAATACTGCTTTTTCATAAGCTTCAAATTCACTTTCGTCATGAATGTGAAATCGAGCCATAATTCCTGCTTTTCTAATTCCTTTATCACGACGCCAATCAACAAAATCAACTTTTTTCAATAATTTTGACTCATGATATTTAAGCTTTCTCACCATTAATTTCTTTTATGTTTTTATGTTGTTTCAGGGTTATGGTATTTTTATAGTTCGGTTGATTATTCTCTCTATTATTAATGAGTTGTGTTATAGATGCGATATTCAAGAATCACCGCAATCTTTAAATTAGCACGTTTTGACTTTTTGACACATTTCATGGTTTGTTGGTGTGATAAAGTCAAGTGATTGAGTGTCATACAATGTCATTAAGTTCATCGCGACTTCATTACAAAAACCAGTTGCTCCAATTGTCTCAAATTCATCACGTTTCTTTTTGAGCAAATCAGAAATGATATTTTGTTTCTTTGTTTCAAATGCAGCGCTTCTTATTGTTTTAGTTAAAGCAAAACATCTCTCACATAAGTTCCCTTTTCCTTTTTCTTTTCAAAATGAGTATTAATCCTTTCTATTTGATATAATCTATCTATACTTCGTTTAACAACTCTTCTCCATTCATCGTAATTAATTCTTAAATCTTCAATTAATGGATCATTCATTTGAACACCTTCTCCAAGTTGTTTTGCTGCAATATCTAATTCTTTTAATGCATATTTTAATAACTCAAGATTTAATTGTTTGATTCCATTAATCCCTTTACCTATCTCTGCTTGAGCTTTCCAATGAAATTCAGCTTCCCATTGTTCTCCTTTCTTACCCATTTTTTCACAATATTTTCTTAGTCGTTCAAATGCATTCTTTCGTTTTAAAATTCCTTCTGCAATCTTAATTGCCCAACCACTGTGTGCTCGAACTAATGTCTCTTGAACATATCTACGAATCTCCTCTATTCCCATTTCCAACATTCTAACATCATTGTTAGCAATGTCTAATTCACCAACAACATTTCTTCCTTTTTGAACTGCAATTTTCAACCATTCTCTTCTTTGGAGATGTCGTTTTAATTCTTCTTCAATGGCTTTACTTTCTTCAACAACAACTCGTCTAAACTTGTTTTCTTCAAGTCGACTTTCTTGTTCTTGACTACTATTCATTGGTCCAATAATTTCTTTCCCATTAACCTTTTTCCACATGTTATCATTGCCAGTTATACTCTTTGCTTGAATTCTAACACCATTCATCATGCCATTATTTCTTTGAATTGCACTTCGTTCTGAAAGAATAACCATTGTTTCACCAACAACAGTGATTCTTTCAATAGATTTTCTGATTAATTTTCTTAGCTCAATAACAATACTATTTTCTGCTTCTTTGACATGTTTTTTAATGATTTTTTTTCTTTCTTCCAATTCTTTTAATTGTATTTGAATATGTTTTTGTTCTGCTGCAGAAATTCCAGTAAACCTTAATCGTTCGTGATGTTTTTTTATTTGAAGTTCAACATCTAATAGTTTTTCTCTCCAACTTCCAACTAAATCTATTAATTTCTTTCTTTGTTCATTTTCTACTTCAAATAATTCTTTCTTTAATAATGTTTTTTTGACATTTGCTTTTTTAACTTCTTGTTTCAATCCATTTTGTTCCGCAATCTTTTGGATAGTTCGATTCATTAAGATTTTTGTTTTTAACTTTAGTTGTTCTAATTTCTTCTTAGTAACATGGTGATTGATTGGGGGATGACGTGCTGCTTTTTGTTTGACAAGATCAAGATTAATCTTGTCAATTTCTTCACGAAAAGTTTCTTTTGCCTTTCTAATGTTTGTTGCAGCTTTATTTCCTTGTGCTCTTTGAAGGGCTTCATCGACATACATTTTTCTATATTTACTAATACTTTTACTTATTTCTTTTGCCATTTTCTTTGCATTTGAATTAATTCGTTTTTGTTCATTAGCTAATTCAATTTCAATCTTTCTAATTTTTCCTGATAATTTTGGGATTCTTTTCTTATCAATTTGATCTTTAGAATGTACTAATTTCTCTAATTCTTTCTTGTAGAATGTTAAGTGAAGTTTAAGATGTTCTAAATGATGTGTATGAATTAATTCAGTAGGACTTTTTGAGAGTTGTTTATCTATTCTTTTTGAAACTAATTTTTTAAATCGTTCTAATTCAGGTTTTGTAATTTCTAATTTCTTTTTTTGTTTTAATGTTTCAGCAAAACACAAAGAGATGAAGAGAAGTATAAAAGAAATGATTTTCATAGTAAAATCAACTTTAAAATGATTTTTAAGATTTTGTATAAATTATAGTTAATTTATTATTATATAAATTATATTTATATTTTGATGTTTTCTAAAAAAGAAACTAAAAAAAAAAGAACTTAAAATAATAATACAAAAAATTATTTATTAAGATGAGACATATTTAATTCATAATTTAATTTTCTACACCAATTATCATGATCACAAATTTCTATTAAATGAAGTTGTAATTGGGATTGTGTAGGATTTTGAGGTAAAGGATGAATGAAAGGTTCAGTTCCAATTTTATTTTTAATTTGGTTTAAAACAATTGAATTGACGTTATCCACATGATAGAGTTTAGGAGAAGCAGGTTGAGATATTGTAGGAGATAATCCTTTTTTAGTATTTTTTAAAAGAAGAGTATCACTTCCAAAAACAATTCTTTTAACAGAAATAGAAGCTATTTCCATGAAAGTTTTATAATTACAATCTGCTTTATAAATGATATCTGTTTTTAAAAGTCCTTGAAGACTTTGAAGATATATTAATAATTCATCAAATCTAAATTCACTTGATTTTATTTTTTGAGAATGATCTAATAATATAGATGCACCAATAAATAAATGAAACTTTCTTGAAGGATATGCAAATATAGAATCCCATATTCTAAAGATATTTGTTAAACTAAATTCTCTTTTAAATAATAGAATTAGCCATTGATAAACAAAAACAAATCCATTACATTTATTCATTATTACATTATATAATTCATTGTCTAATGTTTGAATGATATATCCAAATCCAGTTAAAATACTTTCCATATTATTATCACAAAATGGAGATATAAATTCCATAATATTACAAAATAATGAATATTGTTGTTTTTCATCATCAACTACTTTTAAAATAACTGCTAAAATATCTGTCATTCCTTGTTTAAATCCAATATTACTATGACTTCCACAATATGCTTCTAAAATTCTTTTTACTTTATAAAATTCTTGACTTTCACGTTTAAAATAAATCCCATCAATTTCTGTTCTTGGAATATCCTTTAAAATATTATCTTTTACTCGTTTCCACCATTCTAAATTAATTACATTAAGATAATCAACAATAATTAATGATGGAAAATAAAGTTCTTCATATGACCCTCCAAGACATTTCTTCCAACCAAATCCTCTTACATTTTCTTTTAATCCAGAATAAAATGTATTTGATCTAATGATTTCATCATTAGTAAATGGATTAATTATTTCTTCTCCAACAGCTAATGTATTCCATTCAAAAGAAAACCCATTTATTTCTTCATTAACAATTTCTTCTTTTGTTAATTTTAATGATTTTCTTTTAGGATTTTCTTCAAAACGTTTTTGTAAATTTACTTTTGAATTAACATTTAAAGAGACACTTTTTGATCTATGACGTATTGCCAATGGAAGAGATAATGGTTTATATACTTTATCAATATCATTTGTCAATATTGGTTCATTTTCTTTATGTTTTGGATAAATTGGAACTGGTGTATGAACTTGAGAATGTTCACTATCAAATATTTGTTTTTTAACTTGATAAGTTATTGGAAATACATCTTTCTTTATAGGATGACTTAAAATACATTTAAATCCATTCATATTAATTTGTTCAATAAGAATATCTATTGTTGCAGTTGTTGGAAATAAGAAATTTGGATAAATAAGAAATACATGTGTTTGTGTTTTAAAATGAATTTGGTAGAATCGTTTATTTGTGGTAGAATTAATTATTTTAGTATTTAAAACTTCAATTGATTCAATATGTTCTACTTTTAAAATATATTCAAATTCTCCTAAATTCATTGTTGAATTTGTTTGTAGATTTAATGTTGGTATGTATTTCAATGTAACAATCCCATCAATTGAACATAGTTCTAACTTCCCTTCAATTAAATAGTCATTATTCATAATACAAATATTTGAAAACATAAATAACGTTTCTTCTAATGGAGGTGTTGTTGTTGTAGAATATGAACTTTTAGATACTGAAACATATTTACTTAATTTCGATTCTCCTTTGTAACTGTTTGATAACGTTTTCATTTCTACTGAAATTGTTTTGATTTTATTTTTATTAAGTTCTTTTTTTCAAATTTTATTGAATTATTTGAACAGATAGATTGAAAGCTCACCCTCAACATATATTCCTTTTGTTATCTTAAAGAAAAAAATCATCTTAATTTTACAGCCAAATAGTTTTTTTTTTCATCAACCTCAAACATAAAAAAACGTTTTGTCAGTTATATTGATATTGTTCTATTCCCGATTACAACTAATGTTTCCAAAACAACTTCTTCATAGTGTTTTTAAAACTAATTGACTCTTTCATAAAATACATTATATTCAATTCAATAGAATGAATATGTAGAATTTTGTCTTAGTGTAAAACACATAAAAAAACAATGTATTTTCTTATGAAAACAAGATAATTAAGTAACAAACAAAATAGAAGAAATAATTAATAACATAAATGAATGTCAACAAGAATCATATTAGACAAATTAGATACTTCTATTTACACAAAACTTTATTTATTACATGACTTAATCTTGTTATGTTTCAATAAAAAATATTACCTCAAAACCAATTGAATGTATTTTATTGAATTAACAAGGAATTATCTCTCATATTCATAGTTTCATTACACATAAAATCTATTGTTCAGGTACTTCCTATTTATTACAAAGGTTTTAAAGAAGTTTTAAAGAAATAACTTATATCATTAAATTTGCAAGTAATATTGGGTGTTGGTTAATATTAATTAAAATAAAATAACACTTAAAAATATAGAAGAAAAAAAAATTACAATTCAATACGAATGATAAAGAATCTTTTGGAAATAATCCACCCTAATGTCAATAGATCTATTCAATATACGAGAAAAAGTCATATCATCCATCTCCTTGCAATACGTCCGATTAAGTTTATTAACTTCTTCAATATTTCTAATATCAACAACATGACTAACAATATCTTCAATCAATGCAGCAGCAAAACAAACAATGCCATTTCTAAATCCTTTTCCTCGTGGGTCAGAAACAAAACGATCCCAAATAACAATAACTTTTTCTACAGGAAATTCTCTTGAGAAAAGACATACAAACCATCTCCATGTTTGTTGTTTTAACATTTGTTCATCCATTTGCAATGCTTTTGAATTCATTACTTTGAGTAAATTAAGAAAGTCATTCATTAATCCTATTGCATGAATATCTTTTTCTATTCCATAAATATTAACTGCAAGTAAACTAGATAATGCTTCAAGAAATGAATATGTTGTTGACTCTATGCGTTTAAGATCTTCCAAAGAAAGTTGTATTATATCTTCAACTTTTAACTTTTGTTTAGTAAACATATCCACAAGTACAATAATAATGATAGAAACAATGTCATTTAATCCTTGAAAATATCCTTTTGGATGTATGTATAAAAACATTCTTAATACTCTTCTTAGAACATTACGTAAACGGTCTGATTGAAACAAAGAGTCATATCCAATAGGATATGTTCTAGTTACATCCCAATCAATGACTTCAGCATCTTCAGAATATAAAAACTCATCTGAGTCTATATGAAATTCATTAACATTATTCCAATATAAAAGATGATTTTCATTATTACTTAAATCTCTAATTTCTTGTGTTGTTTTAGGACGGAGAAGCAATGCATACCAAACAAATCCACGAACTTTTCTTGGGATTCCAAAACAACATACTTGTCTTACTTTAAGGTAATCTCGTTTGTTTAAATACTGACAAATTTCTCCACACATAGAATAATCCCCTTCAAAATCCACTTTATCTATTAATAGATTACTAACAGCTGTTGTTGTTCCTTTAAATAATGAGCTAATTACATTTGATACATTTGTCCCACTGATAAAATCAAATATCCCTTTCTTTTCTTGCTTCTGTTCCATAAGATAGAAACAATGACAGTTCTTCTTCAATTTTTCGTTCTTTTTCTCAATAACATAATTTTTTTCTTCTTTCTTGATTTGTGTGATTCTTGATTTATTTTTACTTCTTTTTTATTCTTTTTTGTTTAAGTTATTTTTAGAATTTTAAAAGTCAATTCAACTTCAAAATGAAAGATTAAATTAAAACAGAAGAAATATTGTTAATGAAGGAGTAGAAGTAGTTTTCTATTTTATATTGTTAATACAATACATTAAGAAAGAGAGACATTTATTTTTGTGATAATTTCTTTATAGTTCATTGTCTTAATTTAAATATAAGACGAATGAATTAAATAAGACAAAAAAAGATAGTCATCAAATGCTTAAAATAAACGTAATAGAAACTCAATAAAGAGAAACACAAAAATCAATTTTTCATTCAAAATCAATCAATTGAAAAATGGAATTATAAAGAAAAGTCCCAAGAATTTTGTTGCCATGATGATTCTTCTTTAGATGTAGTTGGTTGAACTTCATCAATATGACGTTCTACAATTAAATTCTTTACACTTTCTCTAAAAGTACTTGGGACATCATAAGGGTCATATGAACATAATGGACAGCTAATAAATTGAGGTTCACTTAACAGAGCATGTTGGGCTAACACTTGTTGTGGATCTATTAATTGTTTTTCCTTACAAATATTAACAAATTCTCTAACAGTTTTTTGACTACAATTACCAAGAGGATTACATTGATCAATTATCATATGAACTAATATAGATTGTTGTCCAAATAATCCACTAATATCTGTTCTTGTTTGTAATTCAATAATTTTATTATTAATAATACGAAAGACTTGTTGACATAATAATAATTTAATAACAACATTATTTTCTATTTTAAATATTTCTCCAATTTGATTAATTACATCTAATGTTATAGCAGCAGGTAATAATGTTGAATCTGCAACAAATCCTCCAAGATGACAAATATACAATGCACGATAACTATCATTAATATTATGATTTTGTACATTTTCTATTAAAAACCTAACAAATTTACAACATCTTTCTTCAGTATAACAATATGTTAAATAAGCAATTGGTACATGTGTTAAATAATTTGCTCTTGCAACATATGCATCAAAAGCAATAAATAAACTTTGTTCTAATTCTAATGGAATATCTTTTATCCATCCAAGCAAGAAAGAAATAATACTATCTAATGAACTTGCTGTATCATTTTCTTCCATAGCAAATAATTCCGTAGACTTTTGTAACTCTGAGTCATATAAAACTGCTCGATCAATACTCGCTAAAACTGCTAATCCTGCAACTTCTGGTACTAAACGAACAGCTTTTAAAAAGAATAAAATATATGTACAAAATTCATTAATTGGTCTCCAACGTGTTGGAATACATTTAGTAAAAATTTGTGGAAAGATCCTAGAAGAAAGAGGAACAAGTCCAATGAATTTTTGAAAGAGAGTAACTAATACAGGAAAAATTGCTTCATTATCTGGAATAATTCTAAGAAATAAAGAATTAAGAGCTCCTTGAACATGTGCTGTATTTGCTGTAACTAAATGAAGAAGAAGTGTTCCATAAACTTCATAAATAGGTTGACTTGGAGGAAGTTTAATTGAGTATAATGCATTTACTAATTCAGTATGAGATGGTTGAATTAATGTAGTGCATTGAGTTAATGATTGAATCCAAGTCATTATTTTATCATTAAAAGGGTTATTTAATTGTTGGACTAAAAAATTATATTTAAGAGAGTCATGAAGAGCAAATCGATTTATTGCTTCTTGAACAAATTTAACAGTACTTTCTAATTGTTTTGAACACTCAATGCTAGTCATATATCTATTGACTTTTTAAGTTTTCTTAATTTTTACTTCTTTTAATTGTATTTTTATATTTCTAACCCTTATTATTTCTTTTATTTATTCTTTCTTTTATATCCACTGTTCCTCTACATTATTATTCTAATTAAACAATATCTTCTGAATACAAATTAAATGGTGATTTCATTCTTTATAAAATATATATTTCTAATATATTACTTATTACTTATTCTTTGATTCTTGTCATTATTTCAAAAGAGGGTTTTATTTTTACATTCTACTTTGAGGAATGACTTTGATGTATCTTTTTTTATGTAATATATCATATATTCTATTTTATAATGAAAATCTTTCTTGTTGTTATTATTTGTCTGTTTTTCTTTTAAATAATAAATCTCTCTCAGAAATGTTCCATAGAAATTATGTCATTGAAACAACGTCTTCATTCAAAGATTTTGCATTTTCATCATTTTCAAATGAATTTTGAAATTGTTTTGAGCTATGTATTAATAAAAGTGTAGTACATCTAAACAGTAATTCAATTAGACTGATACAAACTATCAATTTTCTAATTCTTGCTCTTTCCAATAAAAGAGACTTTTATACTTCATAGTAAACATTCTTCATTTCTATAATAGAAACACAATCATTTTAAGAATATACATAAACTCTAACTCATTACTTAATCTATTCACAATAAAAGAAATTTAAATTGAATGAGATGGATTAAACCTAGAAGAGTCGCATTATAGTTTTGGTATTTTTTCAATAATCTATTGAAGGAAATGATAATAGAAGTTACAATGTTTTGAAGAATAAATTAATAACGCTCTTTTGTAACTATTTATTGAACGGTTCTTAAGTGTATTTAGAGATAAAGATTTGTTTATTCTTCTTTATTTATGGAATTGAGGTTGAATTAATGAAGCAATTCTAGAAACAGTAAGACAAAGACTATTTATTTGTGGTAATGCTGGAGTTGTGTCAAAGACTTCTTTACTAGATTTCCAATTTAACCACTGAGGTTCGTTTAGATCAACAGAACAAACAAAAACTAATTGATTAAACTAATTAAGAATAAAACGAAAGAAACAAACATTTTTCTGTAGAGAGATGTGTCCAATTAATATAATGAAGTGAAGCATTAACAATTGTGCATTGACTATCTTCAAGTACTACATCATCAACAACCAATTGTATTAATGTTTCTAATTCAACTATTGTTAAAATAAGACTACGAACAAATTTGTGTTTAAATGGCTCTCTGATTTCTCTGAGAGTAATAATTCTTTGTAATAACATTATCAATGAATCAACAAGAAGATGTAAAGACAAAAGATTATCATCTGTCAAGTCTTGCTTATCCATTAACCAAAACACAAAGTCAATAGCTTCTACCATTCTTGTAATATTATCAATAAAACATCGTGAGAGGTTAGTTCCTGACAAACATGCTGAAAGATATTCTTGAGAGGTTGTGATTAGTGATAACAACAAATTTGATTTAAAAGGAAGAAGTAACGTTGAAAGAAGAGATCCAACAGACTGAAAAATTGCAAGTTGAAGTGATGAACCAGTCACTAGATAAAAAGGCATTGGAGCTATGAATCGAAGGATATAAAATGAAGAAGAATAACAAGACTTATTGAGTTGTAAAAGATACATTTGTAATGACACTGGAAAAAATGAAGAAGTGTCAATCACTTGTGATGAAGTAACTTTTATAAAATGTGGTAGACATTGAACCAAAAATTTTAAAGTAAAACCTTTTAATGATAATGGTAATATCTCAAAATGACTAAGTAAGGATGTAACTAATGTTTGTAAGTGATTGTTGAATCTTGAAAGAATTGACTTTGGCATAATTACTGAGTGATACAATAAAATTGATGAAAAATGAATAAGTTCCTCAAAGACAGTGAAAAACTTTGAATCTAAAGGTAGAGAAATTAAATAAAAGAGGAAGTCTTGAAGATTAGAAAAATAACATGGTAAAATATGATTTGATAAGTCACACAAGAACATTGAGACAATCTGTGAAGATAACTTCATTGATGATTTAGAAAATAATGACAATGAACGAGAATGAAAAAATTGTAGTTCAGACAAATAACAATAATGAAAGAAGTAATAAAGATGAACCAAATAAGTTTGAAATGAATGATCTTCAAATGAAATGTCTTTCAAATATGATTGAAAATCAAATTCCTCTTCATTTGGTTCTTTTTGTATTTTTGAAGAGTTACAAGGTAAAATACAAGAATTGATTGGTTTTGGAGGTATTTCTAATAAGCTTTTTAATGGAAAAGAGTTGAACTGAATTGATGTTGGAGTTTGTTCAAAATACTTTATTCCACTAATTAAAGAATGGAAGATAATTGAAATAGTAATTGGTGTCAGTGGTAATTCAATTGGAAAAATGATAGCGTTTTGCTTATGGTTAATGAGTGTTCTCAAAAAGATAATTAATCCACCTTTCTGATGAATATCAAAACATAACTTACTTAATTCTTCAAATATCGAGATTGTTTCTTTATTAATATTTGAGATATTTTCGAGCATTGACTCTTTGAAATGTTCAAAATTAATGAATGTCTGCTGCTTTATATCTTCTTTTAGACTAATAGTTAATGAAAATATTTGACTAAGAAGAGACACAACATCAAAATGTTCATAAACATAATTGGTTTGCATCAAAAAATGTAAACAACGAATTGAACTTAATGACTTATTATGAAGAAACTTTTGAAGCAATTGATTAACTTGTTTATAATTATTTATAGTGTGAAACAATGCATCAATAAATTGTATATATTCTTGAAATTTTTCTTTTTTATTAATCCACGAATTTATCCAAAGTTCTATTTCTTCATTCTTGTAGTTCATGAAACAACTGTTGTTGTTATTCTTAAATTTCATAAATTCATCTTCAATTTTATCCATGTATAATTTTTTTTTCAAAGTTTTATTTTAAATGAAAAATTAAATTAAAAAACAAATATTAAATTTATTATTTCTACTTATTCATTCGTTTTTTCATCAGATTCAGCAACTGCTTTTGTTTCCTTTTCATTTGTATGTTTCTTATAACAAATAGCATCACCTTTACTATGACTTTTCTTATGATTAGTTACATTAATAACCTGTTCATGGGTTGGTTCATGCGATTCATCCTGATTGGTTTTTGTAGACGTTGTGAGTAAATAAGGGACTGATGTTCTTTTTACTTTTCTTTGGAATAAAATGTCTTTAACACTACCTCTCTTCTCAAATACATTCAAATCTTTCAATGCTTCATCACTAAACATTTCTTTAGCATTGGGAATCATTACACTGTATGATTTTCTTTTTGTTTTTGGATGTAATAAAGAAGGATCTTTCTTTGCATCTTCTACTAGTTGTTTAAAAGCAACTAAGTCATTTGGTTCTAATCCGAGAAAGTCATATTCATCAGGAAACATTGTCATAAAATTATCTACTGTACAATACCCAAAGGAAATCAATAAGTCTGTTAGATGTTGGAGGTTTCTTTGACTGAGGAATGCACTTATTTCATCAAAAGAATTAAACTGATATTCTTTTGGTCTCTCTTTTTCTATTTCATCTCCATTAAAATAACCTGCCAAATCTGGAATAAATCCTACAAGAAACTTGATAATTTCATCTGTTAACTCATCACAAAAATGTGTTTCCAAGTCATAGCTTCCATTATCTACCATAGCAATTCCTTTTTTATTTTGAAGTAATGAATAAAGTTTTCTGATATATTTTTTTTCACTAATCAACTGACCAAAAATAACAGCAACAGGTGCAGTTACTGCTTTTATATGACTAACTTTCTGGAATTTAGATAAAGTAACTAGAGACATATTAACTAGCGGATTAACAAGAATAACTCCTCCAACCATATGTTCTTTTCTACATTTATATGCTTGGAATAAAGTTGATGCTGCACCAGCCCCTTTACCAAATAGAATAATTTTACTTGAATCTACATTCATTGTATTAACAACATAATCAAAGACTTGAACAATAACCTTAGCCAATGAGTCTTCAGAGAATTCGGTTGTCCCATTCATATATCCTGGATATTCATAACCAACAACAACAGAATGAAGTAATAATGACATTTTTCTTAGCCATTCATAAATTGTTTCTAATCTCTCTGTTGAATGATGACTATAAAGAATTGTACATTTTGGTTGTTGGTCTGATGGAGAAATAATAACAGATGGAATACTTCCATTAATTTCAAGATAATGCGGAAATGATTCACAATGACTAGATTTTCTTTTTTTCCAGTGCTTTGCGCCTTTCTTTAAAGAGACTTGTGTTTGTTGTTCCATCTAAGCTGAAATAATTCCTTCAAATTAAGATCCTTTCTTTGTCAAATCAAATAGTCCATCTAAATTTAGTTTTGGTATTTTTCCTTATGATGAGACTAAGTATATTTTTTTTAGTTAATTTTTTTATATGATAAACTTATATCTCATTTGAAATACTATTTTTAGAATTTTGTTGAAAAAAACACAAAATTTCTATTTTGCAAGTTGACGTGGAAAATAGTTTTTAGTTACTCTATAAATAAAAGAAGAAATTGCCTTTTCATTAAAATTCAAAATAGAAAAAGAAAGGATAAAGATGAATAAAAATAATAATAAATTCCGTGATTGATAAATATTACCTTTTTAGATATCATCTTAATTATTAATATTTGTTATCACATGTTATAATATATGGTTTTAAGGTTGGTTGATTTGGTTGTATAGATCGAGGAGGTAATATTTGAGAAATAGATGAGTTTATTTTTATCACTCCGAGTTATTGTGAGGTAGCTATTTTAGAGATTTGATATTCATGAGATTAAATTTACTACAAAACCACACATTTTCATCGTTTTTTTTGTTTATTTCATTTCTATATCATAACTTATTCTTAAACCGCTTATTAATAACACTTTTCATAAAAATTTTGTTATAAAAATATTTTAAAATAATGAAAGTAATTAATTAAGTATTAATAGAATTTTCATCTATTCTTCCTAGCTCAGGGGAGACTAATCCCATCACTTCACTTATTAAAAAGAGTAATCTCTTTGTTTAACCTTTCATTTAGGTTTGTCTTGGAAAATGAGGAAAGCATTTCTTTGTTTTATTTCTTCTTATTAATGTCTTCTCATCCTTCTTCTGCTAATTTCTTCTTTTTATCCTTTGTTTATTTTCTGCCTTAATTTTCAGGACTTTCATTTTTCTTATTTTATGAATGGAAGAAGGAATCATTTTATTACTACTATATTACTTTGACTAATTTTCTTTTAGTCATACCCACACTTCAGTATGTGCTTATATTACAACCATGTAATATTCTACTATATTCTCTTGCTCCACCCTTTGCAGCATTCCCTAATACATTTCTAATTCAAATACACCGTCATAACCAGATAATAACTGGGAGAGTCGAAGTTTGAATTATATTAAAGTTTGTGAGGTGTTACTTCAGACGTGCCATCTTCGAATCCAGATCTCAAGAATAAATAACAAATAAAGAAAATAGAAGAAGATATTAAAAGAAGAAGATGGAAGAGGAACAAATCGTCTCAAATAAAATGATGAAAAAAGCAAAATATAATTTAGAAAAGAAAACGAGAATGAAAGTACAAATGAAAAGAAACAATCTACTGGTAATGAAATGAATAAAGAAAAGCTACAAGAAGAAAATACAGAAATAGAAGATAAAATAAATAAAGTATAGAAAGAAAAACCACTAAAATAAGAGAATAAAATATTGTTATAAAATAAATAAAATTACATAGTAAAACTAAATGGCATTTGTTCATTTGGAATGAAATAAATTTCATTACCATCAGAAATATATGAACCTACAATAGATCCTTCAATTGGAATACTTTGTGCAACACTTTGTTGATACATTTCAGTTTTATAGAAACTAAATGGTAAAGTAGGGATAGAAGCTTGACTAGCTTGTAATAATTCGTTAGTAACTGTAATAGTCATTTCTCTGCCAAACATTTCTTCAATTTGTTTACTAAATGCAGTACCAACAGATTCAAGTAATTCGCTTCCAATAATATCACCAAAAGGTGTAGTTAATGAATTAATTTTAACTAAACGCTCAGTGCATTTAGTTCTTTTAGTTTGTTTAATACCAAAAGAATATCCAAGTGTTTTTAGAAGATATAATAATCCATTATTAATTTGTGCTTCTTTACTTCTGTTATATTGCTTATCATTCATTGATTTAATATCCATTGGCTCTTCTCCAACTATTTCCTTAATCAAAGAATCACTCATAGAAGCAAGTGTATTTTGGTCATACAATGTACCATTTAAATTAATAGTTTCAGGTAAATACATCTTTACTGTTTGCTTGGATCTTTTAGTCTTTCTAAAGGTAGCACTACCATTCATTTGTGAAATAAATACATAAACTATAGCATTGGTTATACAAGCTTCACTACTTCTAGAAACTCTCTTACGGTCACGAGAAAGTGATGGTTCAGGACAATTCATAGTCATTTGAAATATTACTTGATTTCTTTCCGTCACTATTTCCTTTAAATAGCCATATTTTCAAGTTCTCAGTTCTAGGTTTAAAAAATAACCAATAATTTTAAAAGAACTGGAAAAATACAACCAATCATTTAATATAATCTTTAAATTAAATTATACAGTTCCATATTATTTTTGTGTCAATATTTTTCATAAAAAGTTATGAAGTTTTTATAATTAATAACTGCTATATATAACATATAAATAAAACAAAAACTAATAAGAAATTAAAATAATTAATTGCTATTAATAACTATGATAAATTTATATAATGCAATTTAATTCATTTATAAAGATTCATTTTTAATTTAAATTAGTATAATATTGTGTTATGTAAAATATTAAATAGATGATAATAGTCAATTATATTCTTTAGAATTTATTTATTTTATTTGTAATTTTATTGTTTATAATCTTCGTATTAATTAATAAGAATTTATTGGTACTATGATATTATACATTCTCATTTATTATTTCATTTGTTTAATACTAATTTTAACAAGTTGGCTGTATTTTTTAAGTATAAATAAAATGATAATATTATTTTAGAATAACACACTAAAAAGACAAAACAAACAACTAAAATAAGGTGTAGATTATTGAATATTTGAAATTGCTAATTCAAATTTATTTAATAAGTAATCAATAGTTAATTACAAATATAGTAATCCAATTACTCTCTAGTGTTATAATACAGTTTTTACTAGATACTAACAAAATCAATTATATTTTCTATAGATAAAGAATGTCTAGAATTTAATTCCAACTTTAACTCTAATTTTAAAACAATACTTCTTTTTATGCCAAACTTTTTAACAAAATTTTCTTGTACTTATATTCTTTTTGATAGCATTACAATTCATTAATAATACTATCCACTAATGCTTTAAAAATAGAAAGAAATAATTCATAACTTCCAAAAAGAAGCAGTATACTTAAAAAGAATGAGTCTTAAAGTACTAACAATTACATAAAAAAAATAATAATTACATCATATAAAGAAAGTTCTCAGAAAAAAAAGATAAAACAAAAGAAATTATTATCAATAAAACCTCCAAATTACAATGTCTGAAGTAAATAAATGAAGAAGATATTAATTCTTTAAAAATGAAACATATTTTTAATTCATTGATAAGTAAAATTGTGTTATTAAAAAATAATAAAAAAATAATTAAAATATGATACAAAACAAATTCATAAAGAGATAAAAATAACTAAAAAGAATAATTTAAGAATTAGAAAAAAACTAAACCCCAAAGCACAGTAGAACTTGAAAGGGTTTTGTCAAATTGCAGGTTGATGTCTGGAAAGGCTAATAAGCAAAAGCAAGCAAAACAAACCAACCCACTTATCGTTGCCAACAAAAAGGTATTTGGAAAAGGTAATGTAGCTCATCCACGTGATTTGACTAGATATGTTAAATATCCATTATATGTCAGAATTCAAAAGGAAAAGAGATTATTAATGAAAAGATTAAAGACCCCACCAGCAGTCAATATCTTTGCCAATCATACTCTTGACAAAACTAATGCTACTCAATTATTCAAGATTCTTGATCATATTAAACCAGAAGAAAGGGCTGCTAAATTACAAAGAATTAGAGCTGCTGCTAAAGAATTAGCTGAAAAAACACAAAAAGGAGAAAAGGCTACTGCTTCAAAGAAAACTGAAAAACCAGCTACTCTTAGTTATGGTATTAATAATGTTGTTAGATTAATCGAAAGAAAACAAGCTAAATTAGTTGTTATTGCTCATGATGTTGAACCATTAGAAATGGTTGTTTATCTTCCATACCTTTGCAAGAAATTACAAGTTCCATACTGCATTGTTAAAGGAAAGGCTAGACTTGGACAATTAATTCACAGATCAACCGCTGCAGTTGTTGCTGTTACTGAAATTAAGAAAGAAGATAAAGCAGCATTTGAATCACTTGTTCAAAATGTCAAATCTATCTACTTCGAGAATGCTCATATGTACAGAGAATTCGGTGGTAGAATTAATGGATTTAAACACAATGAAAAACAAAAGAAGATTCAAAGTAAACTTAATAAAGATCTTGCTGATAAAGCTAAACAACAAGCTGCTTTAACTGTTACCACTGCTGTAGAAGAAAAAGCTGCTCCAGTTGCTGAAGAAAAGAAAGCTGACAAGACTGCTTAAATTCAATGGGTTGTTTTATCTTTAAGTTGTTTCTATGTAAAACAAAATTTTTATAGAGAAAAATTAATAAAAAGATAATTAATTGTTATTTATCAAAAGTAATATTAAAAAATGAAATTAAGAGGAACCCTAACAAACCCTTAAAGTAAAATAAAAGAAGTACAGAAGGATAAAATATGTATAGTACTACGTGCTGGATTCCTAAAGCACATTTAAGTAATTATCCAATTATTCCTAATTTTGAACAGTTGTATAACGAAGAAGTTCAAAAAGATGAAAACCAAGCAATGGAAGAAGATGAAATTGTTAAAAAATATGGATTAAGTAATTATGATGATGACGAAGATGACTATGCTAAATATGCACTAACTAAACAAGGAGATGGGTTTGATCCTGATATGGAAGAAGATGATTCTGAAGTTGAAGAGAACTTAATTGCTGATACAGACTCAGTGTTAATAGCTGGTATGTTTGATAATGTAGAAGTTGATTATAGGTTAGAGTTTATCGTTATGGAACAAAGTGCTGATAATAAGTATATTCACCATGATATTCTTATGCCAAATATTCCATTAACAACATCTTATCTTGATATGGGGTCATGTCCAATTAATGGAATAAAAAATATTGTGGCTGTTTCATGTTTAGGTAAGCCATTAGAGTTATGGAACGTTGACTCTTTAGAAGATACAACACCATTAGTTGTGTTAGACCCAACAAATGGTGCTATAATAAATCAAGCAAGAGAAATTAATGATAAATTCGATGATAATGCAACTGTATTATCTGTTGGGTGGAATTCATTACAAAAAAATATATTAGCCACAGGGTCAGCTGATCATATTATTAGATTTTGGGATTTAGCTTCAATGAAAGTTGCACATCAATTAAATCATCATCAAGGGAAAGTTCAAGTTTGTAGTTGGAATCCTGTAGATGGGTCTATCTTAGCTACTGGTTCATTTGGAGAAAATGGGTCTCAGGCAGCAATGTATCTTCTTGATGCCCGACAACAAAAAACATTAGGAAATTGGTTCTGTCAATGTGACATGAATGACTTTGTTTGGAACAATGATGGAAGACTTTTTATGATAACTTTTGAAGATGGTAGGGTAGAATTAAGAGACATGAGAAATCTTAATAATCCTGTCTGGGAACTTGCTGCTCATGAGAAAGTTTGTACATGTGCTTCTATTTACAATAATGGTATTTTTGCAACTGGAGGTGAAGATAAATATGTTAAAATATGGGATGCTAAAGGTGGTAAACCTTATGTATTGAAACAAATAGATTGTAAAGGGGATGTGCTGGCATGTTCTTGGTGTCCAGATATTCATGGAATGTTAGCTGTAGGAGGAGAATTTGGACTAAAATTCTTCTCTGCATTAAGATGATTGGTTCGTTATTAGTTAAATTTAATGTTTTTTTACTTAAAAAATTACAAAAGAAAAAAGAGTCTTTCTATAATATATTTAGAAATAGAATGTTTTCAATTACATATTCATTGCTTTAATAAAGTCTTTTAATTCAACATACCCTTTATGTGATGGATCGATAATAGATCTGACTTCTTCTTTTGATTCTTCTGATGGTTGTTGTTGTGACATTTTAACAATAAAACATATCATGTCATCAGTTGGTATTTTACCATCATTGTTTAAATCAAGAATACAAAAAAGTACTGCATTGGCAAGATTAAGTTCAGAATTTTTATTAAGTCCATATTGTTGAATAATGTCTAATGTTCTCTTAAACTCTTCTTTTGAAATTTTTCCATTTCCATTTATGTCTGTTGCAACTGCCATTAATGGTGTGTATAGAGTTGTTATTGCTGAATTAAAAAATGATGATAAAAGTTCTTTTCTTGATGGTCCATGAGTTTCTTCTGGATGAGACGCAGAATAAATTACATTATTAATTGCAGACACCGTTGCTTCAATAGAAAGATAATCATTTCCTTGAGCAAGAATTTTAAACGTGTTTTCATTGGAAGTACTGTTCATAATTTATTCTTTTTTAGTTTGTTCTTTTTTTGGTCAAAAATGTTTCTTTTTCTTCTTAACTTTAAAGGAATTTTTTCCTTTCCTAAAAGAAAAATTCTTTTGTTTTTTGAAGGAATTAAATGAGTTTATGTCTTGTTTATTCGTATTTTTAAAAATATTAAAAATGTAAAACAATTTCTAAAGACATTTTATGGTATTGATTTTATAAAGGTAGAGTCTAACTCTTTTTACCTTATATTATTAACTGATTCATTTAAATAATTAGGAAAGTGATATATTGTATAGTAAAAAGTGGGTGTTCAATTATTTCATATAAGTTTTGTTCGATACATTTTTGTATAAACTGATACTTGAATTAAATTGGATTAATAGAAACATCCTTAATTCATAAATAAAATTAGAAGAAAATGAATAATTTTTAAATTATTATATCTTCATTCAAAAATGTTAATAAAGTCTAAAACATAATTGACTATGTTGGGTTTTGTATTAACTCCATAAACATTTATTAACATATAATTATTTTATTATTTGTTCTTTGTAAGGATTGTACTTTAAAAAAAGAAATATACTTAGTTATGTGATTAAGAAGAATAATATTTTCATTCTTCAATAAGAATTGTTATATATATTAATAAGATATTCTAAAAACATAACAGATATATTATAGTTATACTATAGACATTAGAATTTAAATGCTTTGGTATATCAGTAATAATAAACTAGAGTAGTGTAGAATCAAATTTAACATTTTATAACTGAAATTAATAAAACAGAGAATATACTTGATATAGATAGTAGTATTTTTATTGTTTGAGTATTTTAGAGTATATTACTTAAGCATGTATGTCTATTAAAATTTCTTTTAATGTATTAATGAATAAAACATAAAGAAATAAGAGGTTTATAAACATTTTGATATAAAAACAAAAGTTAAGTGAGGATAAAGAAAGACTTTTTAAAAAAAGAAGAAGATTAAATGGGGGAAAAAGATAAAATAATTTAGAACCTATAGTCTCAAAATAAAAATAAAAGAAGAATGATTATAAACAAGTTTAAAAGTTAATTCTCTATCTGAAGAGTTAAAAAGAATGTTTTTGTACTTAAATAACTTCATAATACTATCAAGGTACAGAAGTTTAACGAAACGTATATGATATTATTTTAAAAGAAGAAGAAACAAAAGACATACCAAATGAATCAATGTTTTAAAAAGTTACAAGATAGAAGGGGTTAATTATATAGCCGAAAAATTGTTATTATATAAAAAAGTAAATCAAAATGTGTTAGTGCTAGAAAAATAATTAATACTTATAAAAGTATTTACTATGTTTTTATGGGCAACGAAAAAAAGCGAATAATTGAAAAAGAAGAGAATGAATGATATAAAAGAATAAAAAGAAAGTAAAGAGTAGATGAAGATGAAGAAAGAATAAAAGTAGAAAGGAGAGAATATAAAAAGAAAGAAGATAAAGTGTAATAAAACAAAAGAGATGATAAAAGAAGAAAAGAATGAAAAAATAAAGGATGTAAATTTTATTGAAACAAATAAAAAAAGTGCAAAATTTAATGATGCAAAAATTAATGATGCAAAATATTTAGCAACATATTTTATTGATGCAAAATATTTTGAAATAAAAATAATTCATCATTTGATATTATTATTATATTTGATAATAATTTATATTATATATTAAATACATCATATTTATTTATTATTTATCTTTCTTTTCTTTTTATTATTTCATATATTAAATTATTATTCATTCATTTATTATTTATATTTCATTTATTAAATAAAATGAAAATGAAATTGTAAAATATCAATTAAATATTCATGAATAATAATTTATTAATATTTAATAATTGAAATAATAAATAATAATGTAACAATAATGATATATTCAATATATTCTTTATTTGATTTGTTCAATATTAGATTATTCTATTTCATTATCATTTCATTGTCTTCATTATTTTATTTCATTATTTCATATTCATTTATTATTTTTTAAAATCAAATAAACAATAATATTGATATTCATTCATCATATTCATTTAATATAATAAATATACACAACATTTCAGAATAAATAATAAATAATTAAGAATGAAAATATTGATTATATTCAATATTTTGATCAACATAAAATCAATAAAACATATATTTAGATAATACACAAATGAAATAATAAAGAAATATACAATACTCAAGAATTAATAAAAAAGAAATAAAAAGAAAGAATGAAAATAAAATTGATAAATAATAGAAGAAAGAAATAGAAAAACAACGAAAACAAATAATATAAAAAGAATATAAATATATAAAAGAATAAAAAGAAAGTAGAAGAAGAATATAAAAATAATAAAACATAAAGATGTAATAAAAGAAGAAAAGAAGAAATAAAAAGTGTATTTTTAATGTAAAAATTAGAAATATGAAATAAAAGTGTCTAATTTAATGATGTAAAATGATTAACAATATTTTATTGATGAAAAATATTTTACTCTTTTTTATGTTTATTATTTATATGTATAATTTAAACATGATGTTTATTATATAATCAATCATATGTGCTATGTTATTATTATAACATATAATAAGTGATAAAATATAAATGAAAATGATATGAATATATGATATAGAATATAAAAAACAAAAGAATAATAAGAATAAATGATAAATAAAAGGAGAAATGATAATCAATGATATAATAATAAAATCAAAGTATAAAAGATAAAATCAATATTAATATAAAACAAAACAGAATAAATATAAAATGAAAATAGATATAAATGATAATAATATAAAAATGATAAGATGAATAAACAAATACATCTAAATATAAAAGAATAACAATAAGAAAATCTAAATAATATAAACATAAAAAACATAAAATAAGAAGAATATAATAATATAGAGATAATAAGAAGAATACAATGATATAAATAATATAAACAGAGAAATAAATATAAAAATACGATAGATAAATAACATATAAATAAAAGAATAAAAAGAATAAAAATAATTAAATATGATTCATCAAATAATCTATTTCATTAATATTTCATACAAAATGAATACAATTGATAATAAAATATATACATAAATATTTATATATTCTGTATTTATCATACTTTTTATTTTTTTATTTTTTTTAGGAGCAAAATATAATAAAGTGGAAAATTCTATGGATGCAAATTTTTTTGCATCTTTTTTCTTTTTTGTAAATTATTTAGATGCATTTTTTCTTTGCTAATTTTCGTATCCGTTTTTATGAAAACTAATGACTATTCTCATAACATGTTTACCATATTATTTCAATGGTATTAGAATAAGAAGAAAAAAAAAACAAAGAGTTAATAAATACAATACCAGAAAAAGTAAGTGAATATGAAAATGAATTAGACATTAAACATGAAAAAGAGGATATGAAAAGAAAGCTCATCTAAATAATGAAATAAAAAAGAATAATAGACAAATAGAAAAGTATGAGATATAATATTTGATTCAATCTGTGATGATTGGAATATTGATACATCAATATTTTGAGAAATAATAAAGAATAAAGAACATATAATAATTATTATTGAAGACTCAAAAGGAAATAAATTTGGAGGATATGTTAATTCTAAAATTGATAAAGTTTATAAATGGATAAATGATTCAAAACCATTTTTATTTTCACTAGAGTCAAAATGAAGAATGAAAAGAATGATGAAATTTGATATTAAACAACAAAAATATCCATTTAAATTATATAACAAACCACATGAATATTTATTTTCATTTGGAAATGGATATTGAGATATTGTTGTTTATAAAGAAAATAATAAAACATATTCATATTATGATCAATGTTCATTTGAATATAAATGAATTGAAAATGCACTTTGTGGAAAACAACATCAAGAATGTTTCACATCAAAAAGAATTATAATAATTTAATTTAAAAAATTCAATATGGTTTATTTGATGGTTAAAACAAGTTAGTTAAAAAGAACTTTTCAAATTCTTAGTTATAAGAAAACTATTTGTTAATAAACACAGATTCTTAACATTAATATATTTATTTACTATGTTTTTTGATATTATTGTTATTGTTTTTCTTTATTATTATTCTTTTGTTCTTTTATTTACTTGTTTATTTATTATTTTTGTTTCTTTTTATTCTATGTTTTGAGTTATTCATTTATTTCGGATTATTTATGTTTCATTATTATTAATAGATAGATGCTTTTTAAATAATTGAATATTTCTCTATTTTCTTTCTTATTTATTACATTTCATTCTTTCTCTTGACATTCTTTCAGTTTAGATTATTTTTTATTCAATATCACATTAATTAATCCCTCTATCATAGTACAGTATTTCATAATTAATAAGTGTACAACATTATCGGTTTATTATCCTTTCTTTTATTTTCTCTCTCATTTATAATTCTTTAATACATTTGTTCCACTTCTTCATTATCATTCTTTATATTTACTAAAAATTTTAATACATGCATATTTATTTATAAATACCTTTCTCACATAGTTATGAAAATTGAATGATTTGTGGTTGTCTGATCTTTTCTAATGTCATTACTTGCTATGGTTAATATTTCTAATTCTTATCCTTTTTTCTATTTTTCATTTCTTCTTTAATCTCATTACACTTTAGGCTCTTAGTAATATTCACAACATAAACTCATTGTTTTATTAGTCCTATTAAATATGGTAATAAGTTAATTTAAACAGCATGAGATAAACATTCTATTTCATTTATTTCTAGCTCACAATTTTATTTTGATTTACAAACTGTAAAAACTCCTTTCAATCACTCAACCATATAAATATCTATCACAACTGTCTTCTCATTTCTTTTATAAAGAACCTCCAACAGATAAAAAATTAAAGAAATTAATAAAATGAATATTGTTTTTCTTTTCAAACAAAAAACCTTAAACAACAAAGCAAATGATTTTTTGAATAACTAAAAAATAAGAAATGAAAGA